AAATAAAACATGAATGCATTCAAAACATGAATACTTGTGTGTTTTTTATTAGCAGATCAGCTTATTTTGTTAGCACTGACTTAGCATAAATATGAAGATACTTAATAAATTACTTAGTTGATAAGTTAATAGTAAATACACTCATCAAAACAACTTATATAAAGGGGTGGCTAAAAACAATATTTAAAATATAATTTATAATGTATTATATAGTAAAATTACAAATAATTAGTTACAATTATTAAGACATGAATTTTTTAATTACAAATATTTTATATTATTATATGCAAGGAGAATCCCACAGATAGGCCGCATTATTCCCTCAAGCAAAGTTTCTCAGTCGTGAATTCCTGTTGCTCGTGACTAAAATGGGCTCATGCAAGTTGGACTCTGGAAAAACTGATCTAAAAGCCATTTTTCTCCTAAGGATATCCGTAATAACTCCGGTCTCGCATCAGCTGCTGTGGCCTAAGGAAAGCTCTCGTGTCATGTGAGTTGCGAGGAAACGATTAGCCAGTGTCATTTGACTACGCTTTTATTTGTTATATTACCAACATTAGTGTTATTTGGTTAAAAAGTAGATGAACCGCTTCAGTGATAAAGCGTGAAAAGCACTAATTCAGCTATTTAAAAGTAAATTAAGAATTTTCTACAGCATTACTGTCACCAAATGGCATTGAAAGGACATTGAAAAACGATAAACAAACTAAAACCACACGTACGGAAAAAAAAAACCACGGTGTAGTAAAACAACAAAACAACTGTATATAAATGACTAATAATACTGTATTCATTAATTCTAAGCAATAAATAATACATAATCCAGACTTCATATGCATAAAATGAGAGATTTGAACATATATGTTCTAAGAACGTTTTGCTAACGTTCCCGTTATGAAAACGTTCTGAATGTTCTCTTCTCTGAACGTTAGGTTTGGATGTGATCGTTTAAGGGACATCTTATCATGTTGCAAAGATTATGGGAAAGTTACTTTTGAATATTGTTTGACTTAAACCATCTGAAACTATTAGGCCTAAGAATTAAGGTTAAATGAAAAGACCCAATAACTTTGAACAAACATTCTATTAATGTTGCCAGAAGAATGTTTACTCATAACTTTGCCAGAACATTCTGCGAATGTTGTGAATCCTGTGAACATGTTGTCTGAGAATCTTTCCTATACACATAAACATGCAAATTGTACGAAATTATTAGTCAGTGAGTAATCTAGTACTCAAGTGGTAATGGTCATGTGATTTCAACATGACAGAAATCCACTTAATATATATAGAATAAAATAAGAGTTTACATGTTTTTCAAAGGTTTGAACAATTTCTTAGGCAAAAATGTTTTGTGGAAAGTAGAAGGTTAACTAAATATTCTGCTGTTTTCTTTCAGAAAATGAGCTAAGAAACTCAATTAGCCTATGTCTTGACATAACAAACTTGATTGCGAATTGTTTTAACAAGCACCCTAAAAGTACCGGTGCTTATGAAGATCAGCAGACTTGTTAAGTTTCAAGGCACGAGACTTGTCTATAAACTCAACTTGTGTCGCCGTGTATGAGTAATAACTCTTCGAGTACCTGACACATTAACCTATTCAGCAGAGGATCCTCATACTGTACTTTACTGTTAAATGTAACATGTAGACACTGACTGACCTCCTCCTGACTGCAGGCCTCATGTGAAAAGGCAGTGTGTTGTCAAAAACAGAATAGCACCTCTAGTAGACTGACCACTGTGATGCTTGACAGATGAGTCTGTAGGCTTTTGCAGGCCTTTTCAGTTTTCATCATTTCTATGAAATGGTGGAGACCCTGTCAGGCAAAAAAAAAAATAGATTAGAGAAACAATGAAGTTGTCCTAATTTGAAGTAAAATGATCAACAGCTCCTGTTAATTAAATGCAATGGGGGAAGTTTTCTGACGTGGCAACCTGATGGAAATTTCTACCTCAGATTGCAGGAGAAAGACAAAGGTTGAACATTTCTGTGCTCTTTATCTATTGGTCATAGGGGTTTAGTGTTTTGCACATGATCAGAGCTACGTCAGTCTGCCTGAGGCAAAGAAGAGGTTTGAGCTCCTAAAATAAAATCAAGGACTGTCTGTTTACCAGAAGGTTACAAGCCAATCACAATAAAATGAACCACCTCACTCACAAACAGTGCTCACCAAGGCTTCATTTATTTAATCTAAAATACAGTTAAACCAGTTTGAAATATTATTGCAATTTAAAATAACTGGTTAAGTAGTTTATTCCTGTGATGGCAAAGCTTAATACAAGACCAAAACATCATATGTCGCCTTATTTAAATTCCCACTTTCATACTAAATTAATAATTTTCTGCTAAAAAATATATTGTTGCTACTGTCTCTGTTATTGACATTGTGTGTCTGTGTGTTTGTGTGTTTACCTAAGAGAATTAACTCTGTTGCTTTAGTCTCTTAGCAACAGGCAAATCATCAGTAATTTCTCTCTGGTTCAAAGATAAAATCATTTGTTGCCATCGTGTTCAATATTTTCATTACGGTGAGTTTCCAATCTCATCTCATTTCTTTATATCACAGGCATCCCTGTGGTCACGACTCTAATACAGAAGCCTTTTGTGCAGCAGATATCAGGATGGAGTGGCGTGTCTGTTTTCTCCGGTAATGCAGGTTCATACGCACACAGAACCCCATTTTCTCCAAGATTTACGTCACAGCGAACACTTGTGTGTCAAATCACAAGTGTTTCCTGACACCGAGACCAGAGGTTTTGAGCAGTGCAGATGGGGCCGATAAAGGGGCAATATTAGCTTTGCACCAAAAACTAACATTATAGGTAGATATAAAGGTTGAAAATGAATGATAATTGATAATTAAGTTAACCTATTTATGTTTTTGCAAGTTCCTGATAAACAACAGTGTGATATATGCTGGTATTCGGAAGTTAGCCAATCATATCAATCCTTTTACATAAATAAGTCTTAAAAGTACCACTGTTTACATCTAAGGATCAGATGGAGGCTGTAAAATGTCATGCAACATTATGTATGTTTTGGTGCAAAAACCATGACTGATATAACAGGTAAATAAAAAGGTTAAAAAATAAAACCATACAAAAGTGTACAGCGTGTCTTTTAAACCTGTTGGAAATAATCATATCTTTCCTTTGCCGTGTTCAAATGCAACAAACGAACCAGAGAAATCACTCCTGGCAGGCCTCGTGTCCGTCTGCGCCACTTGTTTTTATGGAAAGCGCAGCATAAAGTTGAATAGAATGACAACAGGAGGCTGGGACTGGAAGGGGCAGAGAGACAGAGGTCAAAAGGTGTCGGAGTGAGACGTGTGACTGGAAGTCTGGAGGCAGAGAGGCTCACACACTCGTGTGCATACACACACAAACACACACATAATTAGACAAATCTCTCACTCAAGGTCACGATTCCACCTTCACAGTGGCAGTCAAGTGACTGGAAGCAAGATTTGGGTGGTCATGTGCTTGGCAACACAGACTTTTATTTGTCCTTTATGTTAGAAAAAGCTGAAAGGTACAGCATGGCGTATTTACCAACCAAGGCCAAAGGTTTGTTTTGTTCTGGTAGGGACATTTCAAAAAGAAAATACACAGATATATTTCTAAAATCGCTTGTATTAACTCTTTTTTTGTTTTTTTTTAAATGGTTTTCATACCTTCATTATCACCTGAACTTTACTTTGAAAGGCATACTGTTTACACTTTTTAGGTAAAGAAATATTACATGGCAATATAGAGATTCTCTCACACACATAGTACTGACTAATAAAAATGAATGCCATCTGATAATGATATTGCCTCTCTCCCTGGTTGTCGACAGTGTGAGAGGATATTTCTCAGTGATTCAGATCACTTTAATTTCCTCTGGTCTCCTGGACTGCCATGTGACATTGGAACATGTGCTCTATGTGCACTTATGTCATTGTTTTGTTTTGTTAGATCAGTACAATTATAATGTATATGACTTTAAATAAAGTATTTGTTCATATACCACATATTATTAGTGTCGTAACTGAGCCATAATGGGAAGATGTATGCAAACCACAGGTTTTTGCGTCAGTTGCACGAGACATGTATGTTAATTAGTGTCATTTCTGAGGAGGATGGGTGTCAGAGCTTCATGTGGGTCAGGGCCTGTGGGAGTGATCCCATGGTAAACAAATGTAAACGTATCAGTTCACTCTGTTAACACATTCCACATTGTTCAGGGGAATGTAGAGGCTTCATATCCATATATACGTTTATACAACCTTTTCTGGGTCAGCAATCTAAACAGCGGATTTATACATCATCTGAAAGTTGAATAAATAAGCTTTCCATTGATGTATGGTTTGTTAGGATAGGATAATATTTGGCTGAGATACAACTATTTGAAAATCTAGAATCTGAGGGTGCAAAAAAATGAAAATATTGAGAAAATCACCTTTAAAGTTGTCTAAATAAAGTTCTTAGCAACACCTATTACTAATCAAAAATTAAGTTTTATTTTTACAGTGGGAAATTTACTAAATATCTTCATGGAACATGATCTTTACTTAATACACTAATGATTTTTGGCATAAAAGAAAAATCGATAATTTTGACCCAAACGATGAATTGTTGGCTATTGCTACAAATATACCTGTACTTATGACTGGTTTTGTGGTCCAGGGTATATTTATGTAATCATTTATAACAATGATATATGTTGTGCTTTTTTATTATTCAAGAGAAATATGACCTAAGCCCCCTGCTGTTTGATGCAGTGAATTTTTTATTTTATTTTATTTCAATTTTATTTTATTTGATGCTGTGAAAATTGTATTTAATTTGATTTTTAATATAATTTAAATTATTATTTTTATTTCTCTAGGAATGTTTAAATCGTCGTATTTGTGAAGTTTTATCAGTACAACAATATTCACCCGCACCAGCAAGTGGCGCTATAGCGCAGAAGTGTTAAAAACAAACCATCGAGAAACGTGTTGCTGGCGGAAGTATTTCATACGTCGGTCTTGTAGTTCATTTAAAGCTCCATGTCGCTGTGATTGTCACGCTTAAGTCAATCTGTGCCTTTTAAAACAATCAAAATGGGTAAAAAGGGTAAAAAAGAAAAGAAACTTAAAGGAGCGGAGAAAACAGCCGCTAAAATGGAGAAGAAGGTGTCAAAAAGATCGAAAAGAGAGGAGGTGAGTGAATTTATTGCTTAAGATGCCACCATTAGCACTCAAAACAGTAAACCAACACAAATGTCATAGTTTCATTCTGTATTTTATGGAATCAGGAGGATTTAGAGGCTTTAATAGCAGAATTTCAGTCCCTGGACGCGAAAAAGACGCAGGTGTTGGAGACGGCGTGTCCCCCTCCGTCCCCCAGGTGTGTGTTCATGTGTACAGGTGTGAGTCACGTGTCTGTTCCTGTGACATCTGAGTGACAGCTCGCGCTCTCCGCAGGTTGAACGCTTCTCTGTGTGCGCATCCCGAAAAAGACGAGCTGATTTTATTCGGAGGGGAATTTTTCAATGGGAAGAAAGTAAGTACTCATGTTGGTAAATGTGTAGCTATGTTTTGGAGCTGGTCTAAGATAGTCATTAGCTGGTCAATCAGCTGTCATGTTCCAAGAACCATCCTGACCACCTTAAGCTTGTTATACTGTTATTGTATTCCTCATTTGTAAGTTGCTTTGGATAAAAGGTTTGTTGCTAGTACGAGATGGTCTGCTTGGTAATGACTAGCTCGGACCAACTAGAAACCAGCTTCCAGTTTAAGCTGGATTTTCCACCAGAGAACATGATATATTGATATATCATGTATTGTTGACATATATATTTATATAATATATCAATATACGGTCGATATATTCCTATGAAATATGTAAATACATAATAATTAGTTTGTTACTGTACAGAAGTGGCAAATCTTATCAACCGGAACACAAACTGTGTGCTTCCCAAAAAGCCTCAAGTCAGTTAAATGTTTCCTTTCTTTCAGACGTTTCTGTACAATGAATTATTCTTCTACAACATTAAGAAAAACATCTGGGTGAAGGCAGAGATCCCGAACCCTCCTCCAAGACGCTGCGCTCAACAGGTACTCTTTTAACTTATTTAATTTGTAAGTTAAACCTAATATTTGAAATATTAAAAATATAATAATATTATAACATTTCTTTGACAGAAAATATATACAAACAATAAGATGTAACAGATTTTGTATTAATGCTGGACATGTTATTTCAGTCTTCACCACCAGGGGTCAGACTGTCTTAACATAAGTCATTTATCTCAAGCACGCTCTCTCTCCATCTCCCTGCAGGCAGTGGTAGTTCCCCAGGGTGGAGGGCAGATGTGGATATTTGGAGGGGAGTTTGCGTCTCCTGAAGGCGAGCAGTTCTATCATTATAAAGATCTGTGGGTGCTTCACCTGGGGACACGCACATGGGAGCAAATCAAGTGAGTACTGTTTTGTTTTTGACAACTCACTGAGGACTGTGCAGTACTCAAGTGATATTTGGCAAGTCAAAGAAAATGCACTCTTATTTAAAATCTCGACACCATCCCATTTTTTAAGCCAAAAGCTTTTAAAATGTACTTGAAGACAACTTGACAGCAAAATAGACAAAATATCATCAAAATAGTAAAAAAAAAAAAAAAAGAATTGAATTATTACCATATTTATCTACTATAGTATCAAAGATGCCATAACATATATCAAAATATCATGGATTTTCAGTGCATGTTATTCTAAAGGAAAAGTGTTTGTTTTTGTAATATTTTATCATAATACAATATATATTAGCATAAAATTTACCTATAATTATAGCTAATATAAAATCAAGGATAAAGCAAGAGAAATTCATCACAAAAATCAAGTGTATTGTGAAAATTGCTCATATCTTACTTCCTGAAAAGGACCATCGTTAACTTTCTGCATGTACTGTGTATATTTATTATGCATATATAAGTACACACACATTCAGTAAATATTTTGAATATATTTACATGTATATATTTATATTATTATATTTTATATTATATATAAATATATTCAATATATAAACATAACCATATATTTCTTAAATATTTCATATTTTCTTATATTTCTTAATAAATATACACAGTACACACTCATATTATGTAAACATAAACTTTTATTTTGGATTCGATTAGATTTTCAGTGCATGTTATTCTAAAGGAAAAGTGTTTGTTTTTGTAATATTTTATCATAATATAATATATATTAGCATAAAATTTACCTATAATTATAGCTAATATATAATTTTTTGGTTTAAAATCAAGGATAAAGCAAGAGAAATTCATCACAAAAATCAAGTGTATTGTGAAAATTGCTCATATCTTCCTGAAAAGGACCATCGTTAACTAAAACCATAAAAATATACAAAAATAACTAAAACTGATACACACATTTTATATATATATATATATATACAGTGGGTACGGAAAGTATTCAGACCCC